TATTAAATCTCAAAGACGTCCAAACCTCCTTTGACATCAGCAAGCAAAAGGATGGATGCATACAATTGTTAATGTGTACTGATCTAGCATTAGCATTCTTTCTGCTAACACTAAATTCAGGTCTTGTTAAAAAAAAAAAAAAAAAAAAAAAAAAAAAAAAAAGGAAAGGTGGTCAAGAAGTAACAAACAGACCAGAACAGCAACAGACTTGCTGAACTCAGGCCTCCATGGCTTTGTGCCTTGGGAAACTTGACCTTACAAAGAATTATGCTCAGTGCAGGGCAGCACAGAGAATCAAGCCTACAATTTTCATGGCTTGAATGAGCACAAGAACTTGGCTTCCAAGGCTTTGTCTCCTTAAGATGAATGTGTCACAACAGGAATGTCGATTTCTACGGCAGAGAGGCGAGAACGTGCGGAGTAGGGCTGAGAGGCATAGCTGTGCATGCTGGGGGCGTGGGAATACAGGGGCTGCCAGAAGGGAGAAGGGAGGCTTTTGCATGCACAGTACCACAGGAACAGCATGATGGAAGTGAAAAACAGACCGCCAGCACTGGCAATGGCAATAAATACAGAGATGTCAAAGCTGAAGATGGGCTCGTATTTCCTGTTCAGATAATTGTTATAAAAAATGACCCAGATGGACGGAATGAGACAAATGGCACAGGCAAGCAGGAACAAGAGGCCGGCCACGAGATGGCAGCCTGCACTGTTTACCAGGCACTTGGCCAGCTTGACGTTTGGCACGGTGGATACAAAGGCCGTGTTACACATGCCAATCATGCACAGGAACAGAGCTGAGACAGCAGTGAACATACTCAGAGGAAGGGCAAACTGAAGAACACGCAAATCCAGCTGATCCACAGCCGTGTACCACTGCGGGTCATAGATCACACAGTCCCTGCTCCCATCAAAGCGCGCGCACTTAATCCAGAGTCCGGTGTAAACCGTCACGTTCCTCTCGTTCTTGTTGTACGTGTACAGTCTCATCTGCCTCCAGTTTGGAAGCAGAACTGCTGCAAGCAGCCCAGCTACCGAGGCTGTTCCACTGAGGAAGGCCAGCACGGTCGCCGCATGAACATCCCGGCAGCCCATACTTGCCCACAGAGGTTGTCTCCTGCCATTAGAAAGAAAAGTATAAACGAAAACCATGGACACAGGACTAACTACAGTCGATTGTTGATTTTAATAAACTCAGATGACAGCTAGTAGGCACTAACTTTGTGGCACCTTCTTTGTCTGACATGCTTAAGACAGAGGTAACACTGTCTTAAAAACCACTAAATTCATGCTTTAATGAAATGTCAGGTTATTTCACAGACCTGTGACTTCTCAGCTAACAGACTGTTGAAGTTGCTGTGTTCAAGATGAAAAAGAAGCACGTTTGAATGTGTGAGTCTAACATACACAGCCATGATTTAAGTTCACCTGTGCTCAGCTGGCAGCTCCCTGTCTTTAGCCCAGATACAGTATCAGAGTGCATGCTCAGTCCTACCACACTGCTGCATGAGTAAAAGGGAGTTGCTTAAAATCTGCATCATTAGACTGGCAGGGAATGCCTATGTAGGCAGTTATACACATTTTATATAGGCCAAACTGTTGACAAGAGCTGTGAGATAGTGGTGGAGGCTCTGCTGAGTAACTTACTATGAATTTTTCAACAGCAACTCACAGTTCTGCCTCACTACTCCTGCCTTTCAGAATCAACTGTCCAAGCACACAAACAATTACAGAAAGCAGATGACTTTTCAGCTTTCACATTTTCCACTCCAGAGCAAGTGTTAATACTGCTTCCTTTTCAATATTACCACTGTCTGCATACCTACTATAGCCTCTTGTCCATAGAGATGCTGAGAAACAGTCTCAATGATGGGCCTTTACAAAACAAACAAAATCTTAAAAAAATAAAAGACAATTCAAGTTATCAGTTATCCCTTCTCTGCATGATCAAGATATTTCAAAGAAGCCTAATACATAACAGGCACTGAGCATTTACCCCAGAGTGTACTTGAAGCTGGACACTAAGAATTATAGTATACCTAAAAATGAAGAGATACTTTGCAAATTCTTACTGAGTGCCATTCAGTTATAAACTCCTCCTGAAATTTCTTCCAGTTTATTACACTGCACTGAGCATATCTATCAAATGCTCAAAGTCATAAACCAATCTCTTAAGTACCAGAAGTTGTGCTTAATGCATATACAGGTAACTGAGTTTCTGTATCACAGAAAGGTTACAGCCATGGCTGCAAACAAAAAGGCAACCAGATCTGATCCCTCACTCTTCTTTTATACCTGCTAACATCCAATTACCAGGGAGCTCCAGCTTTCAGGTAAGGAATTCCCATGTATACTGGAAAAACACTAAAAGCATTATCCAGCCATACAGCTAGCCAGCATTTTATTGATTTATAGACAAATAAATGAAGTTCAGTTTGTTTCCTAAGAAACCATTAGGCAATTATTTTATGCCATCTAACCCTGAAGAATTGCACTGGCATGTGGACACTCATTTAAGTGCTGATCACAGCCTAGATTCCAAAGAAGCACTCTGGAAAGAAATAATGGCAACCACATTTATGCTAAAAACTCCCTTATTTGTCAAAAGGACAGCATCATATTGTTGCTAAGAATAGCTGAGCATGGGCAAGCTTCTCTTCCCATGGCAGTAAACTTTCCAGATGGCAGGTCACTAACAGGAGAGCCCCTGGGTAGGGGGACCAGAGAAGTATTTCCATTATGATTATTTTAATGTGATGCCTAACTCTAACTTCAGTAAGGTCAAAACAATCAACTTGCAAGAAAATGGAACTATAACAAATGAACTTCAGGGCTAAATCTAATACTACATCAAATTTTGCTCTCCTCAAGCTTGATGCTTTTGCTCTTCTATAAAGAGCTTGCCTTTACCTGGATAAAACTTCATGCAGACAGGGCACACTCCAAGATAGAGCTATATGTGAACCGGCTGGAATAAACATGAGTGACCATTTTCAGAAACCTGCTGTTTCTGAAAATTCATTTGCAGTAGTAGATTACAGGAAACAGGTATGTTAACCACCATCCCTTCCATCAGGGGAGACCTATCCCATCTTGCAAATACTGCTGGCCTCATGATTGTAATTATTGCTTCAGGTCCCTGACAAAGAGAGTAACAAAACAGGTGTTGTCTTAGATGGCTTCAGTGCACTTACCAGCAGCGTCCTCAAACAAACAGAAACTTTAGCAACTTCTGTAAGTAGGAAAAAGGTGTTACTGCATCTAAGAAACAGAATAAAGAAAGAGTCAACATCACACTTGTTTCATGCAACTTCAGCAACAGCCTTTACACTGCAATTCAGGAATTAGGAATATCAGTTATGTTTGCATTAGGCCAATTCCATCACCTTCTACAATTTGCTCTTATTTACAAAACACAACTCAAACGACTTTTTTTTCTTCTTTCTTCAATTTTTTTCTCCAGAGCTTGTTCTCTATCTATTCATCTCAAAAGACAAAGGTGCAAAAAACTGCTTCTCTCATGGGCATTCCAAGACACAGAGTTTGTATCTTGAATTTTATGTTTTTAGCAAAAAATCCATAGGAAGTCATACAGAATGATTCCTGCAGATGTTAGGTTCCAGGCTGCACTTAACCAGCAGTGAGGAAAGGGTGCAATGATTATTTAATGTCAGAAAACAAAGGACAAACTCTAAACTGTTTATGTATCTTGTGGGTCTTTATTCCTTCCTGCCTTCTACACAAAGGTTTCAAGGAAATTGGAGAAAACCAGGAAACACTGGTAATGCCTTTTCAATGGCTGTCCAGCTTTTCCAGAGGAAAAGATCCTCTTGTGGATTTTCTACCCCCACATCTAAGTCTCAAGATCAAATCTGCAGGTCATAATAGGTAAATCACTTTACTACTGGACAGCATCAGACCTCCAAGTATGTCAGTGTGCAACTGTTAAAAGTTACAACCTACAGCCGAATTTGTTGGGCTAACAGGTGCAAAGAAAGAGTTTATTCTAAACTACCCACAGCAAACCCTGAAATATTATAAAATTCATATATGAATAGGCTCCATCACCTACAAAAACATCAAAGAAATCCTTCTAACAAACTATCTAGGGCAAGAAAGAGCTTTTACAACACAGTCATGAACCATGATTTTTTCCTTGAATGAGAAAGAGGGTTTCAGATTTGGAAGCTCATTAATAAGAATGCTATTGCACATAAGACACGACTGCAGTCACACAGCCTGGAGCAGCAGCTTTTGTTCACCGACATTACTGACGAATTTTCAAGCTTTCTGTGCACTTTGCAGCTGAAGCCAAGATAAACACACAGACCTCCCTCCTCTGCAGGTTCACACCCATGAACAACTACAACAACATAATTAAGTAGGAAATTAGTGCAGGCAAACAAAGCTGTCAGAGGGAGCTGTGCCCAGCCCAGGAGTCCCTCCCATTAAATGATGAAACTTGTGTTGTAATAAACATTCAGAGCAGCTATGGAATATTCCCCAATACCCATCTCATTTTTGCAGAAATTGAGTTTCTTTTGGTTTTCTCTTCTTCTCTTTAATCCATCTGATTTTACTGTCTAATCCTGGTGGTGTTGAACAACTAGGGATCTCAATCACTTGTCAGCTAGTTGTCCAAGGGAAGAAAACACACTTTGGCCAGATAAAACCCTGCCTTGCCTTAGATTCTTGGCTTCAGCTTCTTCCATCCCAAGGATTTTAAAGCTGTACTGTGGAAGGCTCTTCTATCTGAGCCACAGAAGCCACCATTCCTAACAGCACCCCTTAACAGGGAGAAATTTTACCCCCTATTCTAAAGATCCATGCTGCTGTAAAGAGATGCTGGCTGAAGCTGGTTAAAAACTGGTAAGTCATTAAAGATCCACAAGAAAAAAAATGGGGAAAAAAGACAACAAAAGGACATTTACTATAGACATAACTCAGAATTTAGTAAAACCAGCTCTGTTCCCTTGCATGGCCTTGAGAAGCCCACGGTCTGGGAAGCATCACTGTTTTGTAAAGCCCTGTAGGAGACAAGTCACAGTATAATTCATCAATACAAATTACTGCCCGACTATCCACAACAGCATGAGCAGTTCAACATTTTTCACGACTTTTGGCTAACTGACCACCAGAACCGGAGGCCTGAAGCTCGCCAGTTTCAAGGGACTGCCTCAGAACCACTGCCACCACTCTGATTCTGGGAATCAATCATGCAGTTCCACGTTCTACAAAAATTCCTTTTAAAATTAAATATAGAGGTACCAGGTTAGAATTAACGATCCTAGCTAACAAATTAGGACTTCCAAGAAAAACTTGGAGCAGGGGTAATTATTTTACCGACTGAATCGGAAAGAGTAGCTGACGCACGGAGAGAACACACAGCGTCCCCCCGGGGAGCGCCGCCGATCCCCGCCCGCGACAGCGACCCCGGACTCGCGGGGGAGCCGGGAAGCGCCGCAGGGCCCGGGCTGGCCGTGCCCGGGCCGAACCCGCTCCCCGAGCCCGCTCACCTTGCTGCCGCGCTCAGGAGGCGCCATGGCCGCCACTCCGGCCGCGGAGCCGCCGCGCTGAGGGGAGGCCGCGGCCGCGCGGGGCCTTGTGGGGCGGGGCGGCGGCGCCGGCGCAGTGCGGGGTCGGCTCTCGGCCCGGCGCAGCTCGGGTCCCGGCCGCCCTGCCGGGCCCGCCCGCTCGGCGCTCTCCGCTAGCCCGGGCTGGAAACGCCGGTGCTCTAACACACGTCCCTGGGATAAGGCAGCTGACTGCAGCTCCGAGGAACCCGACTGCGGCGGGCAGCTGCGGCCCACGGCGGACAGCTCCAGTAAACCATGCTGCCTCTCAGGCCAAACACACCCCCAGTACTCCTTAACCTCAATCATTAAGACCGGAAAGTTTGGAAAAAACAAAGCGCTTCTTTCAGCTATGAAATAGCCTGCAGAAAAGGGGGCTCAGGGGTGATGATATCACTGTACAACCCTCTGAAAGGAGGTTGTAGACAGGTGGGGGTCGGTCTTCTCTCCCAGGCAACCAGTGATAGGCTGAGAGGAGATGGCCTCAGTCTGTACCAGGGCAGATTCACACTGGACATCATGAGGAATTTCTTCACAGCAAGGGTAATGGGCTGCCCATTAGAAAGGAGGAGGGTAGAGGTATTTCAGGAAACACTGAATGCCATGGTCTAGTTGACAAGGCAGTGTTTGATCATTGGTTGCACTCAATCTCACAGGTCTTTCCCAACCTAATTCATTCTGCAAGTCTGTAAAACAGACGGCCTATTCTTAGCATCAGTGAAAGCATATTAGCCCTGAACACAGTAAAATTAGAGGAAAATCACAGTGAGAACCAATACCAATGATAAAATAGATGCATTATTGTGGAGGGATAGAATGTAAGAGAATAGTGCAGAAGGCAATGTCACACCTGAGGAGTTGCAACTGTACCAATCACCAAAGATTAGGAACAGGCCTGCCCTTAACACGCCACAGCTGTGTCCAATAAGACGAGTGCTACAAAAGAGTAGGTTAGCTGGGTGAGGAGAGAGTTGGAGTTTGTTGGCTGTACTGGGAAGAAGAAGGAGTCAGTTCTGTGACAAACTGCACATGAGAAATCACCCAGAAGGTATGCCACTTTTGTAATAAGATGACAATGCATTATGACAAACCATACCTTTCCTTCCAGTTACTGCTTTAACAAAATCTAAAGAAGCAAGGTATGATACATGTATTACAAAACCAAACCAAACTAGAAGGCTTTGATGTATTCAATCTTATTTTGCTTTACAAGCAATTTAATAGCTTTGAAGTGGAAAACACCCTGACAATAGAGGACTTTGAATTTTTTTAAAAATTAAAATGTGAGTGTGCCTTCTTGTAATATATAATCTAGAGCACTAATTTATTTCCAAAAATGTACAGTTCTGTTGAGAAAAAGCCATTTTCTTCACTGAAATGTAACATAAACACAATAACTCCATAAAAGGAGAGAATCACAAATTAAGCATGGGAATTTGAAATCAGGATTTATACAACTAAGGTGATTACAGTAGGCACCAGCAGGTGCAAAAAAAAAACCTCCAACATCAGTCTTGCTTTTTGTGCTCCTACAAGTCACTTCCTAGTAGCCATTTATAAGTGTTTTCCTTTAAATCCTTTAAACCAACAAAGCCTGTCACAATAGCAGAACTTAGGTTCACCTTAGAAGGCCCAGACCCTGGAAAACTCCTCCATCAGGAATTTCCCTTGGTTCTTCTGATGCCCACAGGATATGCAGAGTTGTTGAACTTGCTCCTTCATGCAAGTTATATTCCCTCCATTCTTTCACTTGGCAAAAACATTCCAGAGATCATCAGTTGTTAAGCAGTGCTTTGAGTTACACATGCTTTGGTCTTTACATTGTTGAGCTTTGTAGCCAACATAAATAAAAAAACCCCTTGTCTCTTTCCCAACTGTGCCCTACCCAAGTGCCTCAACAAATGGAGGGAAGCAGGCAGTGAGGGAAGAGGGAACAATTAAATGGCAAGTCAGCACAACAAAGGTTTCATGTGCATAGTTAAAATATTATTATGCTGGATCCATTCAGGAATGTCAGCTTCTATTCATTTGTTCTTCTCTGGAAGTTTGTAAAAGCAGGAGTTTCTTTTTCCGATATTCTTCATTCGCCTGCTCTGCTTGCTCATCTATGGATTTTCTTAGACATGTTTTGAGTTCTTCAATTCCTTCTCCAGTATATGTAGATACAGGAATCACCTCTCTGAATTCAAGAGTATTTTCTGGAATCATTTCTTCCTCTAGTAAGTGAAAGAAGTCTGAAAAATTGTATTGAAAGTGTTAGTACAATCCCCATATACTGTATCACTACAAAGCCCATAAAATCCCATTAAATGTAGAAAATAAAATTTAATAAATTAGTTGTAAACATAGCTGCAATTAATATACATACTATCTACACAATTAGTCTTCTCAAATCTCAGAAGACAAGCACTAATATGGCAGTTATACTATTCTTAATGCTGCCATGAGAAGATTCTATACACTTCCAGTGAGCACAAAGAAATCCCAAGTTGCAGAATATGAGATAATATGGTCTTAAGCTTTTCTGGTTTCTACACTCCAGGAAAGAGAAAGCAATTCACCAATGCAATTGGAAGACTAAAATAAACCTACATAGACCTTTCCAGAATTTTCCCATGTTTATGCCAAAATCACATGTCAAATGGTACATGCCTGTGAGGGGACCTCCTGTGCAGGTTACTGTTATTCCAGACACCTAGACTGGAAACTTACTTTCCCATATCATGGTTGGGAAAGATCATCTGGGATATCTCTATTTTATTACAACCTTTTCCAAACAGTGAAGCCATTACAAATGCATATAAACAGAGCTCTTATTGCAGGAAGTGATTTTAAACATATGTTCAAATAATAAATTTAATAGCTGACTTCAGTTTCAAACAACTCTCTGCCAATGCAGAGTTATCCATATGAAATCTTACTACTACTTTTGATGAAAGTTATTACTGGAATTTCCTTTACCCTGAGGGTTCTCTAGTTGTGTCATAAGTTCATCCAAGTTATCCTTTGCACAAGGCAAATCCATTTTATTGATGGCAAGAAGTGCAGGCTTTGTTACAAGTTCCTCTTTGTACAGCTCCAGTTCCTTAAAAGAAAAGTAAATTTCCCTTAGTAAGTATCTGTAGTTTAACAAGTGCTACTTTCAATTTTCTCTTGCATTTAATTGCCTAAATATCCCTTCTTGTCTAAGCAGCTATGAGTTTGACTCAGGTGCTCAAGGCTGATATATTACAGCACAGAAGAAAATAATGTTCAGTGATTCATTTTTTTGCTCAAAGACAGATGTCAGGTAAACAGGCTAGCTCGATTCTGAAATGCCAGCTACAGAAAGAATGAGAGTTTTGGTTTCTGTTTATACTGACATCTATGAACACAAAATCAATTTCAGAAAAACTTCAGACCTATAAAACATATAAGAAAATACTTTGTAGAGTGTTATAATTCTTAAATATTTTAATATTAGAAAATCCCAACCTGAATAAACTAAAAATAAGCAGCAATACCTAAGATGTATAAGATTTGTCAAAATTTTAAAATTACATAATATGTATTATTTGAATCAGAAGCATAGTTAAGAGGTGGAAACAGTGAATGTCTGCAAGGCTGGGGCCTGATGTTGGTCTATGCAGTAAGGGCATCAAGGCAGGGCTTTAACTCTAACCACACATTTCTACTTCTTAAAATGCTACTGGACTGGGGAACTGAATATGATGTGTCTTTTTACCTTTACTTGACTGTAAGAAATATCCCATATGCTGCATAGATTAATCAATTCTATTAATAATTGGTACCCAGTATAAACTAGAGCAGTTTAACATGGACAAGTGAAAATAAAAACTTCATCATTTTGGAGAATCTCTTTGGTCACTGGCTTTATATTATAAATCCAAAAGACACCCTAACATTTGAATGTTTCTCGATCAAAACTGAGCCATTCTCTTGACTCAACACATAACTACAGCTGTCACACAGGAAGATGAGAACTTACCTTTGTTAGAAGCAATATCGTTTCAAAGGCTGTTCTGAACTGAGTCTTCATAGACAGCTGAAACCCAGAAATATCAACCTGAAAAAGTTACACAAAAACAAGTTTTGTGGTGTAAAATTTTGTTACAGTATCAAAGTACTCTCAATCAACTGCTTTGCCCTGGAATGTCCATGGCAATGTGTTCACTCCTGGGCAAACAACAGCAACTAAACAGCACAGAAACATCAGACACTGCAGGCACAAACTGGTTAATTCTCATATAGTGTTTCTCAAAGGCCTGTTTTTTAAACTTATGGGAATCTTACAGAAAAATAAAAACCCATACTTTTGTTATGCTTGGAACACTTCACTATTCTAAATTAATCAGAAATTTTCAATGATAAATTCTATTTAAGAACTTAATTTATCATTAGTCATTTGAGTGGTCCATTCTGTAAACACAATTACAGCTATATTTATAACAATCACACAAATTAGAAATTATTTTCTAAATTCCAACTACATTGCAATTAAGATATATTTTATTTATTACACTTTGATTTCAATAAACTGTAAATTTTATTTAACTTACAACTAAGAGAAGCTGCTTGGTTCTCTCTACGTGTTTGAGAAATTTGTGGCCCATTCCTTTGTTTGCATGTGCACCTTCAATCAGTCCTGGGAGATCAGCTACTGAAATCTAGGAAAACAAAAGTTTCAAACAAAATATTTCCACTGAGCAAACCCAAGGGCTTTAAACTATCAACAGTGATTATCCCTATACATGAACAAAAGAACCCAGACAAAATAATATGCATTGGCTGTTTCAATACATTTACAATCTATCATTAGAAGCAGATTAAACAAAATGCTGCTATTACACAGACCTGGTGCTCCTCATGTCCCCCATTTTTTATAGCTGTCTGCAAAGTACAAAATAGAGGGTAATAATACCTCAGCAGAGATCTTACAAAATAAGCTATTACCTGAGAATAAAACAGACTCTGATAGGTGAGCAGCTTAGGCTATCACATTTCTATAGAATTCAAACTGTCACTGAGACAG